ATATATATAAATATATGAAAAATTGATGTGGGTACTCAAATGAAAGGTCTTGATGAGTGTAACATCAGGATGAGCTTATATCTTTAAAAATGTCAATAGTTCACAAGATGCAGCAAGGTAATTTCTTAATTATGGTCATTAATATATGACTGTGTATTTTTTTGTACATCTATCAATACATTTTATTATACTATTTTTTTTCTTCACTTTAGAATTATGACGCCACTAAACCATAGCCGAGTTTTTTATTTTTTATTATTCTGCTTTTTATATTTTATTTTGATCAATTTTATTTTAAAAAATGAGATTATGAGGCGTGCACTTTTGGATTTTCCGAACTTTTTTGATATTCTATAGACAGGTCTTAGGACCTTCTAAGAAGATCTGATTGCTAATTGAGTCAATTAGAATAATTGAAAAATCTAAAAATTTTTAGATTTTTTTAATTTTATTATTTTAAAATGTTTTTTATAATTTATTTTTGGATCTTAAAAATTTTTTAATAAAAATCGTAACTAATAAATATTATTTTAATTTCTAGGTATTTTGCGATACAAAGTCGATTTTCAAAGTATGCAGCTCGAAGAAATTGAGTTCGACAATTTCGATTTGGATGACTACTAAGCAAATGAATAAAATAATATCGAGATCATAAACACTTTATCAGCTCTTCAATGACTTGAGAATAATTATAACCAGAAACATCGGAAGTTGATTAATTGAAAAATGTAAAAATTTTTAGTACTACAAACTAACATAAAATAATAATAATTAAATAATACAATATATAAATAAATAACAACGATAGCGTGAAGAGTTAAGTATTTTTTGGTAATCAAAAAACTTTTTACGCAAGTAATCGTTGTTTAAATAAAAATTATCATTTAGGCAGTTCAAAGTATCCTATCATTTAACAATTGATATTTTAAAATGAATTATTGAACTCAATTTAATTCTAACATTAAAAAAAAAAATAATAATTATTATTATTAAAAAAATAAAAACACTGAAGTTTTTTTTTTTTGCCCGGTGTTATTAAAAATTAAATCAACTGCAAGGAAAAAAATTTTTAAAAAATATGAAAAGTAATAACAGCTGTAATAATTAACATAATTATGGATCAGCGATTGTTTCTGCAGAGTTATTAAAGAAATTGAGTATGGTATGCGTGCGGATGTAAGAATAAGTGAAATACGATTTTAAATAGTTAAAGTGTCGAAGGATATCAATTTAAAATAAAAATAAAATAATTGATTATTTATAGTAATAAATAAATAATTAATTTAAAAATAAAAATATGAAACGAATGACAACTCGAAGACTGCGACATTAAGCCAGCTTGAAAACCTGCCTACTAATAATTAAAAGAAAAAAAAAAAAACAAACATTTAAAAAAAATAAAATCTTGCGAGTTGAACTTGAGATGGAAAAATATTTTAAGCGTGATATGAGTATGTATGTGTGATAAGACTAAAATGTTAAGTATGCAAAGAGTGTGTGAAAATTTTAACCCGTATCTTCTCAGGACGTTCAAGGATTTTATTCCGTGTCCGAGTAATTGTACAGACAATTTTTTGTACAGTACAATGCACACTATTTAATTGTTCTTTATTATTACTGATTACTATTACTAATGAATTATTATTATCATTTCCTGTTTATTTCTACTGTCTATTAATTGAATCATTTTTTATGTTCTAATTACTCAATTTAAAGTTTTCTCTTTTTGATGAACGGTGATGTTATTATTAATGTTTATTAATATTAATAATAAAATTTAATTAATCTATACTTAACTTGAGTTTATTATTAATACTCGATGTGCAATTTTCTGAAATTTTTACTTTGTTTGGTTGTATGTATGCTGTACTGTAAAACTTGCAAAATTTTTTTTTTCTATAAAAAAAATGGTTAAATAATTTTCTGTGATTTAATTGTTTAAACAGAAGTATTAAAATGATTTTATAAATTACAATTTTTGAAAAGAAAAAAAAAATTTATAAAATCAAATTTTGATGAAAAATAATTTTGTCAAAATTAAACTTTCTGTCTTGTATACAAAAATACTGAGAAAAAAAATTTACTCAAAAAAATTTTTTTTTATCAATTATCACAGAAAAAAAAAGATGACACTGGATATCATCTCAGATTATACTCAGTGATATCTCTGATGAAAAAAAATTTCAGATTGTAGCTAAAAAAATCCAGATTATACTATCTGAAATTTTTTTTTCACTTAGTATAATCTGGGATGGTATCCAGTGTCATCTTGTTTTTTCCGTGCAGCTCAAGTGAAAAATTATTGACCGAAAAAAATTAATAGTTGAAATATTAAATGTTTTTTCTCAGTATTTAAATACTTTCAAGTATTTTAATAGAACGTAATGTACAAAAATTGTAATTCAAAAACGTGACTACGTTTTTACTATATGCAAATGATGCATTTACAGCATTACATTAAAATCGTCCATCGAGAAGATCTGCGGGTGTGTGAATAACTGTTGACTCCGTGGAGTTTTAAACAAACCGCTGTTTGACATAATAAGAGTAATAAAAAAAAAAAAAAAATAAAATAAAATAACGTATCCAGATCGCGACATGCTCGATATTTTTCAACAAAAGTACCATTAAAATATATGTCTTGTTAAATAAAAATAAATAATAATAAACGGGTCATGGTGATCGATCAAATGACATTCCAATTACCGATAAATTCATTTTAAATATTAAAAATCAAGGTAAAGGATTATAAATATTAATTATTCATTGTTTCTTTATCCTAGATCCCTTAAATATTTTTATTACAATTAACAATTTATAAATTCACAAACATGATTACTTATTCTTATTAATTACAATTAAAAAAAAAAAAATATCTTCGTTAATTCTGACGTTGTAACATTATTAGACGTCCAAAATCATTTGATAAAATTTTCATAGACACAAAAATTTTTCCTGAAACAACAAAAAAATTATCAACAATTAAAAGCATAGTTGCAAATTTTTTAAATCAAAATTTTAGAATTAAAAATCAAAAATTCAATTTTGAGATTTAAATTGCCCTGTACTTTCTTAACTATTGACATTTTCAAAGATATAAGCTCATCCCGATATTACACTCATCGAGACCTTTTATTTGAGTACCCACATCAATTTTCATATATTTATATATATATTATATATATGTATATATGAAAAATATATCAAAATGCATGTGGGTACTCAAATGAAAGCTTTTAATGAGTGTAACATCGGGATGAGTTTATTTCTTAATAAACATCAATAATTAAGAAAGTACAGTACAATTCAACATAATTAAGAGATAACCCTGTATTTCATGAACTATTGAAATTTTTAAAGATATAAGCTCATCCCGATGTTACACTCATCAAGACCTTTCATTTGAGTACCCACATCAATTTTTCATATATTTATATATATTATATATATGTATATATGAAAAATATATGAAAATGCATGTGGGTACTCAAATGAAAGCTCTTGATGAGTGTAACATCGGGATGAGTTTATATCTTTAAAAACATCAATAATTAAGAAATTACAGTACAATTTAACATAATTAAGAAATAACCCTGTATTTCGTGAACTATTGAAATTTTAAAAAATATAAGCTGACTAAAACTAATTGACCATAAAAAAGAACACTCACCTCAACAATCAATCATCACCATCAGGAACAACAAGACTAAGATTTATATCAGTAATATCACCTCCAATGAACTTCTGCTCTCCTCCCCTAATCGACAGTTTCTCCCTCTGCAACTGAACCTTCTTCTCACTCATCATCCCAGTCCTCAGCCAATTGGACCCGCTGCACTTCTTGCAACTAATCGAAGGAATCCTATTCAAACTAACAGTCCTATTCCCGCAATCCCCACACTTGAAGAAACTCTTAACCGCATCAATAACTCTCAGCGGATGTCTTTGACTCTTGCAGTTATCCGACGCGGAAAAAGCCGTGTACTTGCAAGTCAAGCACCTGACCGCTTTGCAGTCAACCTTGGTCGTATTCATCATCTTCTCCTCCATCCTCTCCTTGGCCTCCAGTTTATTAAAATACTTCTCTTGCTCCTGGCCCTTGGAGCTCTCCACTAGATCCTCATGAGCCGAGCCCTTCTCCATCATCTCCTTAAACTTTTCCCTCGCAGCTTTTTTAGCTTCTGGTTCCTGCTCCTTATCCTTATCAGCATCCTCTTCTCTGTTCCTTTTACTTCCCACCTTTTGAATCTTCTCCCTGCTCTCCTTAATTTTATTCGGATTGGACTGCTTAAACCCTCCGTTGTTCTTCACCCAGTCCAGCGCGTTCTTCTTCGCACTGTTGATGTGTCTCTTAGTAATCGGTTCCGAAAAATCAATGGTGGTTCCCTTCAACCCAGACCCTAGCCTCGGAATCGGCTTCAAAGTACACTTTTGCGGCTCTACTTTCTCAGCAATGGAGGTCGGTCTCAAGGGAGACAACACCCCGTTGATTAAATTCGAGGTTTTCGGGTTCCAGTCTCTTATTTTCTGCAACCGGTCCGTGTTCTTCAGGGGCACAGCTTGTGTGGCAGCCTAAAAAAATGGCGATTTTTGGAAATTAAAAAAAAAAACAACTACTGTATCAATTGTTTTGAAATTTTAAGGGTATTTTGATACATATTTTGAGAATACACAGTAAAATTTTTGAAGAAAAAAATTAAATATTTTTCGAGTTACACGCGACTTAGCAGTTGGTGTGCAGTATGGAAGCCACAATTTTTATCTGAATTATTGGTACAGAAAATTTACTTTTTTTATACGCGTATCTTCTTTATGAACCTCAATTCCAAAAAAAAAGTAACAATTTTGGATGATGGAGGTTCATATTCAGCGTAATTATATGGGTGATTCTCTGTAAGGGCGTCTTAAATCTATACAAAGTTGTCCGACTAAATTATTTTTGATTTTATTAGAAAAAAAATTAACAAGGGCTACAAAACTATTAACTTAATCATAATAAATAAACAGCCGAATTAATTTTTACTTTTTCGATATTTGTGTATCTTGTGCCATGTAACATGACTGGGGACTGTTGCCAGGGGACTGTTTTTTTCTTATCAAATTGAGAAAAATCAAGCAAACTATTTCAATGCATTCAGTTTTTTAAGTTCTCAATAAATGTTTACATTAATTAGAATAATATTAAGACTTATAGATCCATTTTTATAAATAAATTACATATAAAAATAGTTGCCAGGGGACTGAGTTTTGTAGTGGCCCAGACACATATTTCCAGCACAAACGGTGCTTTAACACTAAATAAAATGGCGATAAAGCGCTAACAGCCCTATGGTTATTAATTAACTTAAGGCTAGTTAGATCCTTATAAACTTTACAAAAGGTAAAATAACACGCTGGATTTTTTTATTTTTGGCTTTGAACTTCTGGCAGGGGACTGTACTTAAAATGCCTGGGACAGACTTCGATTTGATGAAATTAATAAAACAAATTAATTTTCGGTACTTTTCATTGAAGAAGATTGTTAATTAACTAATTAAGTTTATAAACATTGTGGACCAAATTATATATTATGAACGAATAACTTAAAATTTAATCTTAAAGTTTTAATTTGAGGAGTGGGACAGCCCAGGGGACTGTCATTTTGGTGGTTTACGAATTTATAGCAAAAAAAACAAAATTTATTTCATTTTAATTTTCAATGCTCCAAATAGAAATGTTTTTTTGCTTTCATAATAAATTTTTTTTAGTAACAAAATAACAATTTTTCTAATAAAACAATGCCTGGGACAGCAAAAAATATCCTTACAGAGAATCACCCATATAAAGAAAAGTTATTTTTCCGTGCCATTGATTTCAAATAAAAATTGTGGCTTCCATAGTGCACACCAATTGCACGGAAAAACTACACTGTAATAAATAACAGTCAATTTATAATAAGTAATGATCAACTGCCAAAAATTACCATTTCAAACAGTAAAATCGTGATTTTACTATTCACTTTATAATATTTACCATTTAAACGTTACAATTTACTCTTTACATGGAAGAAAATACTATTTCAAACAGTAATATTCGCTATGTAAATGTCTAAAATGTTTAAGTATAATAATTAAGAATTCAGACTTTGATATTTATCATTTGGTACCTGAAAAATGATTTTATGATAAGTAAAAAGTATAAAATAAAGTTAAGTAAATCCTAATACAAGCAACGTCAATATTTTTTAAAAGTAATAATTTTTACTGTTTCAAATGTTAAATTCTCCCAGAGTGAGACCCCCTTCTCTTTCATCTGAGTTCCCCTTCTCCTCTTAATATGGACTATATATTGAAATGGCAATTTTTACTGTTTGAAACTGTAATTTTTTAAGATGAAAGAGTCTTTATTTACTATAGTGACAGCTACTAGTCACTTATTTTGGATATTAAATTATAAATTGTGGCTTTTATACTTTCTACATTAAGTTCTGTAATATTTATATTTTTGCCACCCCGATGTCCGCTTTACTGTTTGAAACTATAAAAATTAACCGGAATCCAAGTGAATATTACAGTTCACTTTTTTCCGTGTGCTAAATCGGAAACAACCTACGATGTGTATCAGCTGATATCTCCGCTACTTTTTAAGTTATATTGTCGTAAAATATGGAAAAATCTAAATATACAGTAGTGCTCAAAAGTATTTTGACAAATATATTTAACGGTTTAATTAAAAATAAATATGAAACACAATAATTGCACACCTTATAAGCGAAGCGTTGAGGTTGTGCTCTACTCTCGACATTTAAAAAAAAAAAAAACAGTTTTCTCAAAACTGAAATTGATTTTTTGTTATTTATATCGCACTTACAGATTAATATGAATACACTTATATCAAGTAAAATAATTTGTCCGGAATAATTTTTTTTTATTATCTAAAGTAACACACGACGGATTTTCTTAATTAATATGAACGTTCAATTCACTGTCGTTAAATTATTATTAATAAAAAACTAATTTATGACTGAGGATTTTATTGTATTTCTATCAATACATTTTATTATAGTATTTTTTTTCCTCATCTCAGAGTTATGGTGCCACTGAACCATAGCAAAGTTTTCTGTTTATTATTTTGTTTTTGATCATTTATTTTAATCAATTTTATTTTAAAAAATGAGATTATGAGGCGTGCACTTTTGGATTTTCCAAACTTTCATTTATCTATTTTTTTAACAGCTTCTGAATAATCTACAGAATAGTGTCAAAGTGGTCCTTGTTCGTAACAAAAGAAAGTTTAATTTTTAAAATATTAGGAAAATGGTAGCTCCAAAATATTTTGACATTGTTGAAAAAACCTAACGCATAATGTTGTCAAAATACTTTTGAGCGCTACTGTATGTATAAAATAACTTGATAATTTCAATAAATAACATTAATTTTCATACCTTAAAAAAATAAATAAATAATCAGCATGAAAACGTCTTTCTATACGTATTTTCCCCCTTAACTTTACTTATTAAATTTTCACTCACCTTTTCATCAACAAAACTCCCTCCAATTCCTTCCTTAGAATTCTCCCCAGAAGAACTCTGAGAATTCTTCCCAGTCAGCAGAGCAAGTCTCTCAGAATCCTTCTGCTCCATCTTCAAGTTCCTCTTCGCAGGAATGACGAGCATATTAGTATGATGACTAGCCTGAGAATAGATCCCAGGTCCTTTGTTCTTATTACCACCCGGGTTCTTGGTCCCAAAGTTTCCAAACTTTCTGTTCATGTGATCAGTCTGGAGGTCTTGCCTCCTGGAAGCTTTATTATACTCAGTCTTAACATGGTACACGCAGTACTCGCATTTGCTAACATTAACAATGGCATTACAAGGCTCTCCGCTCTTTTTAACAGACTTGCAGCGACCCAGGTCCTTGGAGTTCCCCAGGACCATGATCTTCTGAGAGTTGTCCACCGACAAGGTCGCTTCGTCCTTGTCATTCCTGGTCTCCAGGACCGAGGGGTTCAAAATCCCGACGACCACTCCGTCGGAGATTTTCCAAAAAGTCTTGTACGCGTCTTTGAACAGAAAAACAGTGACTCTGCTCACAGCTTCTGAAAGGTCGCTGATGGTCCAGATGCAGTACGCGTTCCCATTCTGAGATTTTCTGGTCGCGGACTTCTGAATTAAGACCCCAGCGATCACCCAGTCGTTGCTCAGGTCCTGGGTTGCTATGAAATTCTTTACCTTGGATACTGTCACAGCTGAGCGGTTCTTCATGCGCTCGGACAGTTCTTGGGAGGAAATCAAAGGCTTTACGATTCTCAGTCCGAACACTGGATCTGTGTAGATGTCCGAGGGCTTTTTCAGCCACTCTTGTATAGGTCCGTCCTTTTTTTCCACGGGCTTCGAAGCTAAGCCGACTCTTGGACTTCTACTAAATGTATTGTTGTCAACTTTCTGCTTAATGTCACTGAAATTAGAAGTTCTTAAATGATCCTTGTCATCCTGCTGCTTGGTTAAAAGCTCTTTTATGCTTCTTCCTGACTCGGAGTAACGCTGCTCGTGGAAGTACTTGGAGTCCTCGTCGTCTGAGGAATCGTTGGTGTCTTTAATTAGTGATTGCGAATCGGAAGTACCTGTGGAAATTCATTTAGCAAATATTTAATAATCTATATTATTAAGAAAAAAAACAAAGTTTTGTGGACAGTTTATTTATATGGTAAAATGGAATTTTGGAGTTAAATTTGATATCGTTGGAAAAGTCTTAACCTGGAGTTGTGACTTTTCAAAGTTTAATATCATTCTGACCAATAGTCAATTTATGATGTTAAGTATTTAGGCTAAATTTGTAAATGCTCTATCTCTAGATACATAATTAAAAAAAAACCCTGTACCTTGTGAACTATTGACATTTTTAAAGATATAAGCTCATCCTGATGTTATACTCTTCGAGACCTTTCATTTGAGTACCCACATCAATTTTTCATATACTTATATATATTATATATGTGTATATATGAAAAATATATCAAAAAGCATGTGGGTACTCAAATAAAAGCTCTTGACAAGTGTAACATCGGGATGAGCTTATATCTTTAAAAACGTCAATAGTTAAGAAAGTACAGTGCAATTTAACATTAATTAACGAACGACTGTATCTTGTGAACTATTTAAATTTTAAAAGATATAAGCTCACCCCGACATTACACTCATCGAGACCTTTCATTTAAGTACCCACATCAATTTTTCATATATTTATATATATTATATATGTAAATATATAAAAATTATATCAAAACGCATGTGGGTACTCAAATGAAAGCTCTTGATGAGTGTAATATCGGGATGAGCTTATATCTTTAAAAATATCATTAATTAAGAAATGACCTTGTATCTTATGAAGTATTGACATTTTTAAAAATATAAGCTCATTCTAATATTACACTCATCAAGACCTTCCATTTGAGTACCCACATCAATTTTTTATATATTTATATATATTACATATATTTAAATATGAAAAATATATGAAAATGCATGTGGGTACTCGAATGAAAGCTTTTGATGAGTGTAACATCGGGATGAGCTTATATCTTTAAAAATGTCAATAATTAAGAAATGACCTTGTATCTTGTGAACTATTGAAATTTTAAAAGATATAAGCTCATCGTGATGTTACACTCTTCGAGGCCTTTTATTTAAGTACCCACATCAATTTTTTATATATTTATATATAAAAATTATATCAAAATGCATGTGGGTACTCAAATGAATGCTCTTGATGAGTGTAACATCGGGATGAGCTTATATTTTAAAAAAAGCCAATAGTTAAGAAAGTACAGTGCAATTTAACAAAAGTCATTAATTAATAAACCAAAATGTTATTTATGTATAGTTCACAAGTCACGGCAGTCATGTAGTGTCTGCAAGATTGCTAGTTTTAAAAATTTTTCTAATAAATAAATTACTGCATAAAAAAATGGACATTTTGAAATTTCAATAAATTAAAAATGCAACTTTTTAGAAATTATTTTTCGGAACAAATTTTTTTGTTAAATAAAATTAAAAAATGGTCAAGTGACAGCTAACTTTAATATCATGAAGTACCTTTGTCTTTAGTGTCTGACTGCGATGCTGCTTCGGGGCCCGGAGTCTCCAGAAAATTAAATTCTTTGATTTTCTTCGGCGCCTCTTCTTCATCATTCGCCAACAAGTCGTCCAGGAGGTCACCGACGTCGGAATCGTCACTCATTTTTATTTAATAAATTTATTTATAATTTTTATCACAGTTTTGCTTTGGAGCGAATTAACCTAATTTTAGACAAAAAATTCTGAAAAATATTGTTTTCTTGGTTATAGTGAGTATAATAATTATTATTATTAATTATAATCAAAGTTGTAGTACTTACTTTGCGAGATTTTAAATTATTAATTGAGTAATAGTTTAAAAATTGTTTACACAAGTGTTTTTATTTACTTTATTTACTTTTGCTGAAGAGTGATGGGTCTAAACTTTTTTGGCGCGAAAATAATGTTATTGTTGATAGAGTAGATTTCTATATTATCATAAATAACAAAAATAATAATGATAATAGTAATACGTATTATCTTATAAATATGTATAGTTATATGTGTCAGCAGTTTTTGGTTAATTTTGTGAGATATCACCGACGACCTGATTTCTGAACTTCATAGAAATATTATTTTAATTTAAAAAAAAAAACACTTTGATTTATTTATTTAAAGTAAGTATTCTAAATTATTTTATATACTTATCTTGTTTTATTGATAAGTAATTTATTATTTTTATTTTTACATTCTAGTATTTAGCTAGTACAAGCAACCAGTTGATTGTTGATTCCTAGACAGTAATTAATTTAATAATAATAATAATAAAAAAATGGAAGGTGCTGATCCAGAATATGGTAGCCAAGCCGATTTTATAAAAGATGAATTTAATTTTGGGGTTGACGAGAAAGATCCGTACACCAAGGCTCTACTAAATGAAGAGCCGAAAAAGGACGAGTGGATGGACATCCTGGGCAATGGCCAGCTTAGGAAGAAGACTATTGTCAAAGGACAAAAAGGCACTAGACCTAATCAGGGTGATTTGTGCACTGTTGACATTACGGGTAGCTTAACTGAAGACGGGAAAAATATTATTGAAACTTTAAAGGCTGTTACAGTCCAGCTTGGTGATCACGAAGTTATTCAGGTATTTTTATGATGAAAATTAAGTTAGCCGACATCTGAAAATTAAAAAAAATTGGTACAAAAAAAAATTTTTAAAAAATGTCACTTGTAAAAAACTTGAATAACTGTAAGTGCAATTTTTAAAAAATATTTTTTTGTTCTAATTTAATTAATGAAGAAAAATCAAAAAATTAAAAACGTCGGCTAACTTTAGTATTATATTTTTATGTTATACATGACATTAATGAAAATTAATTTAGCATATTTTTAATAATTTTATAAAAAATAAATTACGGCAAAAAAATTGATATCTAAAAATTGCATTTTTAATTTTTTTAAATTTTTACACGGAAAGAACAAGATGACACTGGATACCATCTCAGATTATACTCAGTGACATCTGAGGCGAAAAAAAATTTTCAGATGGTAGCTAGTATAATCCAGATTATACTGAATAATATCTGGATTATACTCATTGTAATCTGGATTATACTCATTGTAATCTGGATTATACTCATTGTTATCTGGATTATACTAGCTACTATCTGAAAAAAATTTTCACTCAATATAATCTGGGATTATATCCAGTATAATCTTGTTCTTTCCGTGTACATATCAATTTTTTTTTGCCACAATTTATTTGTTCACAAAAGTCCTAAAAATTATTAGTGATCTGCTGGATTAATTTTCATATTTTATACATCATTTAATGACGTTATTAATTGGGTTTTACTTGAATAAATATTATTTGTTTATTATTCAGGGATTAGAATTGGCTTTGGCATTGATGGACGTCGGCGAAGTCGCTGAAATAGAAATAGCTGCCAGGTTTGGTTATGGAGACGTTGGTAGGCAGCCGGAGATACCACCTGGAGCTAAACTATTTTACAGTGTTGAGTTAAAGCATGTTGACATGGAGCCAGACATTGATAGTTTGACTGTAACACAGAGGAAGGCTATTGGGTAAATTTTTTATTCGTTTAGTATTTTAGTGGTTTAGTTTCACGGTCACCTGGTTTTTTTTTTTGCGTAGATAACCGAAGAATTTGACATTTTAAAAGATTTCTTGCTTTTAATTAGGTAATTTTTTCATTCTCTTTAATGAAAAAAATAATATGGCATTTTATTAATTAATGTTTGAATAATTTTAGTGAGAAATAAGACAACTTGATGTTTTTTCAATTTTAAAACTATGAAAAAAATAGAAATTTAGCATTTCGTATATTTTTAATTAATGACTAACAACCTTGCAGTCACTATGTGACTGCCGTGACTTGTGAATTATAAATATATGAAATTTTGCTTTATTTAATAATGAATTTTGTTAAATTGCATTGTACTTTCTTAACTATTCACATTTTTATATATATGAGCTCATCCCGATGTTACATTCATCAAGAGCTTTCATTTGAGTACCCACATGCATTTTGACATATTTTTCATATATACATATATATAACATATATAAATATATGAAAAATTGATGTGGGTACTCAAATGAAAGGTCTTGATGAGTTTTACATCGGGATGAGCTTATATCTTTAAAAATGTCAGTAGTTCTCAAGATCCAAGGCCGTTTCTTAATTATGTTAAATTGCACTGTACTTTCTTAACTATCGACGTTTTTAAAGATATAAGCTCATCCTGATGTTAGACTCATCAAGAGCTTTCATTTGAGTACCCACATACATTTTGATATATTTTTCATATATACATATATATATATATATATAATATATATATAAATATATGAAAAATTGATGTGGGTACTCAAATGAAAGGTCTCGATGTGTGATATGTCGAAGTGAGCTTATATTTCTAAAAATGTCAATAGTTCACAAGATACAAGGTCATTTCTTAATTATGCATCTAGAGATAGAGCATTTTTGAATGGAGCCTAAATACTTATCATAATAAATTGACGGTGAGAATGATATAAAATCTTGATAAAGGCACAAATTCAAGTGAAGACCTTTGCAATGACACTAAATTTCACTATTTTGGATTGGCGAAACTTCATGATTATCACAATTTTTTTTTAATTAAAATGACTTTGAATTAAAAAAAGGCCATTCGGCAGCCGAAATGGAAGTAGATTTCATGATGAACAAATAAAATACTACTAGGGTTACATACAAAAAAAATAATTTTCTGTTACATTAAATAACAATGACGTCAAAACGAATGCAAAAGTAAAATTTCATTAAATCTGTCTGAAAAAGGAGGTAATTTTTGGCCTAGACTGATGAGGTACACAAATTGAAGCTTATTTAATGAGCTTTCAGATGCTCTTTATAGAATTTTGATAAGATATCGCATTCAATTGTAATTGTACGGAAATACGGAAAAAGTGAAAATTTTTGCGATTTTTGAAAATTTTTGAATTGCTATTATGCCTATACTATTCAATTTGGAAAAATAAATAAGTATACAAATTGAAGCTTATTAAATAAGCTTTCAAATGCACTTTACAGAAATCCGATAGGATGTCGCGTTCCATTGTTATTACACGGAAATAAGGTAAAAGCGAAAATTTTTTTCAATTTTTGAAAATTTTTGAATTGCTCTGATTTTTAAACTAATCGACAGATTAGGCTCATCTTAGAACTTAACCTTGGAAATCGTCCTAAAAATAAGTATGTTACGTTTTATTGAGATCCGTACAGAATTGCGGGAGTTAGAGAAGAGACAAGGCCGGTTATATCGTACATACATATATAAACTTTTGAACCATATGCATTTTCTGAATCCGCTTGACGAGCTGAGTCGAAATATAGCAAAATTTTTCAAAAGTTCCGTCATGAGGACCAATGCAATAGTTAGTTTTCTATGAAATCTACTAAAAATTGATTAGTAGAATTTTATAAAAAATTTTTATAGTTTTGACATTTATTAAAAATAAAATATTGTTTTTCTATAGAAATAAAAAACGAGAAAGAGGCAACTGGTGGTTTTCGCGTGACGAACCAATAATGGCGATCCAGTGTTACCGCAGAGCCCTAGAATTTTTACTGCCTGGTGACAACTACGATCCAAAAAAATTCAAAGACGAAAAAATATCAGACAATGACTTGGAAATACTTTTGGAAGATAGAACGAAGGTCTACAATAATCTAGCGGCTGCTCAAATAAAAACCGAGGCTTATGAAGCCGCTCTTGAGAGTGTTGACAACGTTCTAAGAACAGAGCCACACAATGTCAAGGCCTTGTTTAGAAAAGGTATTTCAATTTCTATTTCTTCAATTAAGTTATGAATAATTATTGTTCGATTTATTCAACAAATTATTTTTAATTAAATTTAGGACGAATTCTTCACAAGAAAAGTGAATACACAAGTGCCGTAAAAGTATTCCAAGAAGCCGCGAAACTAGATCCCGAGTCCAAAGCCATTCAGCAGGAGTTATTAATCCTCAAGGAAAAAAGCGCTCGTGAAAATATCTACGAGAAAAAATTGTATCGCAAAATGTTGGGAGGCTTCAAGGCTGAAAATTCTTCTCCTGCAGATAGTAAAATACAATCCAACTCCTCAAAACCACGAAGTAAGAGTAAATTAGCTATCTGGAGTCTTATCGGTGGTACACTTGCTACATTCGCCGGTATCATAGTGTATAAATTAACGCTTTAAAAATATTTAGTTATTTATTACCAAAACAAAAACTTTGAACTTTATTTTAATTAATGACATTCCAAAACTGGACTTTAAATAAATATTTAATTATTATTTTCATCACTTCTTAATTATATTGGAATCAAATAAAGATAAAAAATAATTTTAAATTTAATCTAATAAAATTACTTGTTTTCAATCATTTTTATTAATTATTAATTAAGTTAAAAGACCCAGTTATTGACACTTGCAATTTTTTTCTAATTAAAAAAACAAAATGTTCTCAAAAAACCAATTATCTTAAAATTTATAATCTATATTATTAAAAAATAACCTTATAGTGAACTATAGACATTTTTAAAGATATAAGCTCATCCCGATACTACGCTCATCAAAACCTTTCATTTGAGTACCCACATCAATTTTTCATATATTATATATATGTATAGGTATATGAAAATGTATATATGTATATATTATATATATGTATATATGAAAATGCATATGGGTCCTCAAATGAAAGCTCTTGATAATTATAACATCGGGATGAGCTTATATCTTTAAAAACGTCAATAGTTAAGAAAGTACAGTGCAATTTAACATAATTAAGAAACTACCTTGTATCTTGAGAATTATTGACATTTTTAAAGATATAAGCTCATCCCGATGTTACACTCATCGAGACCTTTCATTTGAGTACCCACATCAATTTTTCATATATTTATATATATTATATATATATGTATATATGAAAAATATATGAAAATGCATGTGGGCACTCAAATGAAAGCTGTTGGTGATTGTAACATCAAGATGAGCTTATATCTTTAAAAACATCAGTAGTTAAGAAAGTACAATGTAATTTAACATAATTAAGAATTGACCCTCTATCTTGAGAACTATTGAAATTTTTGAAGATATAAGCTCATCCCGCTGTTACACTCATTGAGCCCTTTCATTTGAGTACCCACATCAATTTTTCATATATTTATATATATTATATATATGTATATATGAAAAATTTATGAAAATGCATGTGGGTACTCAAATGAAAGATCTTGATGATTGTAACATCAGGATGAGCTTATATTTTTAAAAACGCCAATAGTTAAGAAAGTACAGTGCAATTTAACAAAAGTTATTTTTTAATAAAGTAAAATTTTATTTATTCATAGTTCATAAGTTTCGGCAGTCATCACATAGTGACTGCGAGGTTGTTAGTTCAATAATTATATTTATTAATTTATTACAATCAATTTTTTTTATTCAATTAAAATAAAATTGCAAGTGTCAATAACTAGTTCAGTGTCAATAACTGGGTCTTTTACATTTTATTGTAAGTAATATTCACATTATTAAAATTGAAAAAAAAATATTAGAATAACAATTCATATATTCGTTTCAAATATAAGATCTACAGAATAGAGAAGAAAAATTTTTCTTTTCTCAATATTATATTGAAGTGAAAAATTCTATAAAGAAAATACCACAGGATAATTGAATCCATTACAATAGCTCAGTAAGAGGGGATTGCTCATAATATAACAAGTGATTAATCAAATGACGACGACGAGTACGATGTTACTTGACGTTGAACATTGATATTTAACACTTGTAAAGCTTCGTATTACTCTATTACATATTTGTGCGTACTAAGACTGCAATGGCAGTCGTAGATTCTCAGTTTGTTTTTTTTATTTAAAGTGTTTATTATTTTACATTCAATAATTATTGTCATAATAATTATAATCTTAGTTTTTAATAAATTTACGTGATAATGTCTAGTTTAAAATGGTTCTGCATTTGCACAATAATTTTTGTGAAAATTATTGTGGGTAGCAGTAAAATCGATCCAGTAGACAGGTATGAAAATTTTATTGTTAATTACTTGAAAAAAAAAAAAAAAAAAAAATTAAAAATATTTTGGACTAATAAATAAATAAATAAATTAATCTTTCAGAGGGTATATATTTACTGCGCCAAAAAAAATACTGGCAGGTGAAACTGAGAGCGGGTGCTTGTCACTTCACAATCTAGAACCGCCAGCTCACGTTCTTCTGGAGCTAATTTCTCCAGCGGCAGCTTCGACGTCCACGACGACTGTCACCGATGAAGAAATATTAGCGAGTACCAGTACGCTGCTCGAAACTGGTAATTTATTAGCTAGTTTTTATTTTATAAAATTTTAAGAGCCAGTAATGTTTATTAGCAAGAAGAAGCAAAACTTGTTAGTTAGTAGATAGTATAATAAGCAGTAGGATTTTAAAAGTTGAAAATAAGATACTGCGGATCTTTGACCTCTGATAAGCTAAGTGTAAGCTAGACATTCATCTGGAGAAATTGATGATATTTATTTGGTTATATAGATTAATGTCCTTGCATTGCGCAGCAATTTTTAGTAATCGTTCGTGATCGTATCCCCCTTCCTATAAATTATAAATTGTTACTTCCTGTGTCAATGATACATACGGGGAGCAATAATGTAATGCGTCGGCATATAAATTAACAAGCATTGTTGATCATTATTTTTAACAAATATCACTTTTTTTTTTACCAAATTATTGATGTCAACATTTTTATTAAAAATTGCACATTAAAAAAATAAAAAAAATTTTTTTTGTTCTGTAAAAATTAAATTAAAAAAAATTTGAATTATTTTTTAGGTAGTGAAACATGTTTGGAACTATCGATACCAGATCGAGCGCAGATGACCTACTCGATGGCGAGACTGAGACTGAAAATACGTTTTGATAAATACCCAGAGTATCATGTCAACACGGAAAAAGATGTTTTTATTGAGTATGATTCATCGATTGTGTTTGTCGAGACTGATAAGCCTATATACAAGCCTGGACAAGATGTTAATATTAGGCTACTTGCTTTAACTCATGATTTAAAACCATGGAAAAGACCGGTAATTATTTTATGCTTATATTATTGTTTTTAGAAATTTTTTTTTGTTTGTGGTTTAATCAACTTAATTTTTTTAAATATAATTCATAACAAAAGTTATAATGAGAAAAGTTGACATTAAGTAAAAATTTTCAATATTTTTAAATTAATGATACCCACTTAGCAGTTGAATGATAATAAAATTACCCAAGAAAAATAACTCAATTGAAATTAAATTTTAATTTAATATAATTGAATTTTTATTATTAATTTCTATTGAATAACTGTCTTGTAAACAAATAAATTATCACAATATGCATTCCTTTACGTCATATAGATAATAAAAACATTTTAATCTGATGATTTATACGTAGAATAACTAGAATTTTTTTTAAATCTAGATTTTCTAAAATTTAAAGCATTCTTTAACTTAAAAATTCAAAAAAATAAAAAAAAACCAATTAACCGGTCAACGATTTTAATTTTCATTTTTTTGAACGAAATTTCTATTTGATTTTATTGATATATTTTTTTTTTGAAAAATACATAAAAAAATGAACAATTAAAAAAAAAAAAGTTGATTCTCAAGCGGCACCCATTTTTTTTTGTTTATATTTTATAGAATTTAAGTTGACGATTATTAATTTGTTAAGTAAAATTTACCAAAAAGTCAAGATTTTTTTTTTGTGACCCAAGGGTTATCACAATTTTATCAAATTTTACAAATTTAAAAAAAAATTCATAAATTTTTTACAAAATTGTGATATTCAACTTTTATTTTTTCATTTTTCGTTTTTTCGTGTACTTTTCAAAAAAATATATATAAAAAATCTCAACAAAAAATAAAATAGAAATTTTATCCACAAACATGAGAGACAAAATTTTTTCCAACTTTTAAAGTCAAAAAAACTATCAAAATTATTTTTTTCTTTCACGACATTTTTTATCATAATAAATCCACCGTTAAAACAAGCAGAATGAAAAAAATTTTAATTTTTTACCTAATTATGGCCCAAAATGTGTGTTGACAAGTTGACCCCACTTGTAAATAATTACCAAAAAAAAAAAAAAAAAAAACCATTAAAATCCCAAAATAATTTCAGATTCCAAAAGTATGGATAGAGAACCCAGCAGAGGTTCGCGTAGCACAATGGACAAACCTAAACACCGACCGCGGGATAGTCCAGCTCCAATTCCCACTTTCTCCCGACCCAAACCTGGGTAGCTGGCGCATCAAAGTCGAGAAGAAAAAATCCCACCCTCACTTGATCCACACGACGACCTTCGACGTAAAAAAGTACGTTCTCCCCAAGTTCCAAGTGACCATCACCGGCCCTGGATACATCTTAGCCGACGCGGACAACGCGACCTGGACGATCTGCGCCAGATACACCTACGGCGAGCCAGTCCGCGGCACCCTTAGAATAAAATGCACCCCGCAGATTCCCAGCTGGCGCCGCGGTAAATACAACTTCCCCGCGATAAACTACGAGACCCGAATAGACACCCGCGACGGCTGCACCGGACCTTTCACAGTCTCCAGTTCCGAGATGGGCCTACCCGACTGGGAAGTAGCCCCCAACAGCATAATCTTCACCGCGAATCTCACCCAAGACGGGACCGAGACCATCGAGACCGCGACCAGCCGCGTAGTGGTGATGCACCAAGCTCTAAAACTCGAGTTCCTCCCCCACACTCCCAAGTACTTCAAACTCGGCCTTCCCTACCACGGAAAACTCCGCGTACTTCGCCCGGACGGCGAGACCCCAGCAGCTGGCGAAAAAATCCAGCTTTGCCTCCGTGTACGCGGCAAAGACGACTGGTGGACTCGTGTGGTAGTAGAATGCAAGAACTTCACTTCCTCAGCAATGGGCTTTGTGAATTTCATCGTGCCTCCCCAACACAAGCACATCGTCCTCTTGAACTTCGTAGCCACTGGAATTGAATACCCAACCAAGTATTACTCTCCGGACAAACGCTGGCGCGTATTTATGGACCAGCCAGCGGCTTACATAGACGTTGGAGCCTGGTACTCTCCCTCTGAGAGCTACCTAGCAGTGGCTCGAGGTGACCAGCCTATAGTCTGTGGAGAAAAGTACCCCTTCAACGTGATGTACACCCTAGACCCCGCTGCTACTAATGAATCTCTAGCCTTTCACTATTCCATAAACTCCAAAGGCGACTTGCTAATATTCGGTCACGTTAAACACAAGCCCCACAAAGATTCCGTTTTAAATTACGCTGAATTTAAGAACGTCCTTGGTAGAGGCTCCGCTGATGCAACTAATGGTCGCAGTGAAGTCCCCAAGAACAATATTGTCCATAGATTCCCTCTTAGTGTTAAAGTAACTCCGTCTATGGCGCCAATCTCTGAACTTCTTTTATATTACGTAAGACCTGACGGAGAGACAGTGGCCACAACTTATACTATAGAAGTTAACGGTGGAGAAACTTGCTTCGAGAACCGCGTCAAGACCACTTGGCTCGATTCTGCAAGCTCTGAGGATATAAAACGCGCACCTGGTGAATTAGTGCGCTACAATATCGAAGCAGCGCCCTGGTCGCTTTGCGGAGTCTCCGTCGTTGATTCTTCAACGAACTTCCTCGCGAGACGTGACTCTAAAAAGAGCAATTTGATTGACGCGGACGGAGCCTTTGACCAGACTAAAAAGTTCCATTTTAATCGAGGAGATACTCCCGCGTTGTATCAAAGTGTTTGGAGTCATTGCAAAAAGACAACTCAGCCCCCGGAGACTTCTATTGATGAAATAGACCACTTGCCTTCTCCAGCAGTGGAAGCTCCTCCGGTCTGGGACCATGGAACCGCTAGAACTTGGCAAAGCGGGTTTGACCGCAGCAAATCTTCAAGAACTGGACGGAGTAGTGGAATTAGTTTGAACGGAGTTGTTAATTATGTCGATGCGATGCAAGCTTTTGATGACTTTGGGGTGATAGTAATGAGCGACTTGATTCTAGAGTCTAGACCGTGTCCGCAGAATAGTCAGTGGTGGTCGATGAACCCGCTGGAGAGCATTGAGATGGGCCATCGCAGTATGGACGATCCTGATCGGATCTGGGGGAATATGAAAATGCCCCAAGCGTTTCCGCTTTTGAACTTCGGAGTCATAGAGCCAACTTTAACTGGAAGCAGCGCTGATGTGGGGTACATTGATCAGCTACCTGGAGCTTCTCCGAGGTCGTATTTTCCCGAAACTTGGCTTTGGGAGCTGGTCACTACCGGCAAAGACGGCAAAGCGGTGATAAAACGCACCTTGCCGGATACAATTACCAATTGGATGGCGCATACAATTTGCATTTCTTCGAGCTACGGGCTAGGAATAGCTCCGGTGACTAAGCTTACAGCTTTTCAGCCCTTCTTCCTAGACTACAGTCTTCCTTACAGCGTCAAACGCGGGGAAGTACTGAGAATGAAGGTATCCTTGTTCAATTATATGCAGTACAATTTGCCGGTTAAAATCCACCTTGTAGAAGCTCCAGGGTTTGAATTGCAAGCACCCAGTGTCCCAATTGCAGAATATTGTGTCCCTGCGAGGAAGAGTATCGTCCATGAATTTACGCTCAAGCCACAGGTTATTGGTAATGTTAACATAACCGTTTCAGCGGCGGTTGATTTATCTTCAAACCAGTCTTGCAGCGCCTCTGTTAATGATAAGAAACTCAGTACTGATATCTTCACCCAGGACACTATTATCAAGCCAATTCTTGTACTTCCAGAAGGATTTCCTATCGAGACAACCAGATCAGCTTTTGTTTGCCCAAAAGACTTTAATGACGACTCTAGTATCACTTGGAATTTGAGCCTACCAGTTGAAACTGATAACTTCATCGCTGATAGTGCTCGAGCATACGTTTCGCTAATTGGAGATCTTTTGGGACCAGCTCTAGAAAATTTAGACAACCTTGTTCGACTGCCTTTTGGTTGCGGAGAGCAAAATTTGATCCTATTTGTTCCAAATATTCACGTGATTAATTACCTAGACGCTACTTCTAGCCGTAGAGTTGACGGTCAGGTTACTCAGTCGGAAAATCCGCAGCTAAGGCAGAAAGCCATTCGCAATATGGAGAAAGGTTACCAACGAGAGCTGACTTACCGACACTCTGATGGCTCTTATTCAGCCTTTGGGCCTCAAAGTTCTGAGAACGAAGTTGGAGGTTCCATGTGGCTCACAGCGTTCGTTGTTAAATCTTACGCGCAAGCGCGAAGATACATCCACATTGACGACAGAGATTTAAAGCTTTCCGTAAAGTGGATTTACAGGAAACAACTTGAGAACGGATGCTTTCCGGTGATTGGAAGAATATTCCACAAAGATATGAAAGGAGGATTGCAAGACGACAGTGATAGCAGTGATTACACTGCAGCTTTAACTGCTTACGTCCTAGTAGCTTTAGTAGAAAGTGGATCTTCTGGGAGCAAAAATTCATTACCTTCTTCAGTTATCGATAACGCGGTAAATTGTCTGGAGAAGGTTATGTCTAAAAGCTTCAAAGAAGATGGCGACTTGTACATGCTATCAGTTGGAACTTATGCGCTAGCTCTTTTGGAACATCCTACGGCGAATAAAAGTATGAGTTTACTTCTAGACCGCGCGACGAGGCTCCACGATTTAATCTGGTGGGAAGATAAAACAAAGACTTCTTCCCGAGGGCTTAACATTGAAATTACAGCTTACGCGGTGCTTAGTCTCATAAAAGTTGGCGGTGACGACAAAATGGCGCTGGCTCATCGTGCAATTCGCTGGATGGCCAAGCAAAGAAACGCAGAGGGGGGATTTACTTCCACACAAGACACAGTTATTGGTTTAGAAGCTTTAGCAAAGTACGCTACCGCCATGGCGGTTACTAACGCAACTACCGACCTGTCTATATTAGTAACTGCAGGAGATGTTGATAGAATAATCAGAATGCACGATGAAAATCGTCGAGTTTTAGTTCAAATTCCCCTCCCGGTGTTTCCTACTTTAGTAGAAGCTTTTGTAGAGGGCGAAGGTTGCGTTTTAGTACAGACTAACCTAAAATATAACGTGGCTCACGTTACAGGCTCGCAAGCGTTTGATTTGTCGGTAACTACCAAGCCAGTTGGCTCTAGCAGCGACGAGTGTTCAATGCAAAAAATAAACTTGTGCGCGCGTTACAAAATGGCCGATGAAGAAAGCAACATGGCGCTTTTAGAAATTAAAATGATAAGCGGTTACTCTGCGGATAAAACTACTCTTCACGCTTTGCTAGAGGACTCTCCAGTAACTCGCGTTGAAAGATTCGATGAGGAGCCCGACGGATCTATAAGTATTTATTTTGATAAACTTACCGCTGAGACGACTTGCATTTCTTTTCTTGCATGGCGGGAAAACATTGTCGATAAAACAGAGCCGGCTAATATTAAACTCTATGATTATTACCGACAAGAGTTAATGATTACTCAGAATTATAATTTTATTTGCTGTACTTGTGATGCTGATGATAATAGCCAGTTAGAGCTAGAGCCACTTAGTCCAGTGAAAGCTGAATTAAAAGACCTCCCGGTTAATATGTTGGTTAAAAAATCTGAAAAAAGAACTGGAGTTATTCCAACAGCTGACTCTTTACAGGATATTGAGAGACACAGTAAAGTTATTGCAGATGGTCAGCTGTTGGTTGAAAATAAACAGTATCTTGATCAAGATCCGGATTTTATGATTGTTAAGGTTAATAATGACATTACCGATAAACCTAAGAAGAGTTTAGCAACGCCATCTGCAACTATGGGAACAGTGGCGCCTCGTTCGACCAATGAAGATAATAAAAATGATATTGAAGGCAGTGGGAGTGGTAATCTAAAAGAAATGCAAGTAGAACAAGAATTAGAGCTTGAATCGTCTTACAATAAACCTTTGTCATCATTTATTGTCATTGATCATGAATTAGATACACCAGACGGCATCGAAGGACCGCCGCCAGTTTATATTAAACCCTCGTTTGACATTAATTATAATGAAACAGATTTAACCTCTAATATACGTATTGGCAGTGTTTTTAATAATAATAATAATGATAGTAATAATAATATTATTAATGATAATATTAATAATAACAGCTTGTCGCAGCCGACAGACGTCAATTTTAATAACACTGACAGCAAGTGTCCAGTTTGTGGTGACAAATTGCCGACTAATATTGATGATATTTACTGCAACGCTGGTAGTGTTATTAAAGTCGCGGTGCGACGTCTTCGCAGGGCGAGACTTTTGTTGGATATGATTGATAATCAACAGCCGAAGCGACTTCGCGCGACGGTTAATTTGGTACTGGATGATTCGAGATGCAAGTGCTCGCCGATTGACAAGCCGGGAAGTCTTGCGCTTATGATCTTTAATGCGGCTAAAGATACGACGATGCTGATTAACAGTTCTGGTGATGAGAGTAAAAATTATAGGCTGGATGGAATGGTCTCGGTTTACACATTACCGATGTCTAGTGTAGGTGGTGCTTCTTTTGAGATTATTAAAGCTCGGTCTTCTTGTCCTAGAGCTGTGACTGCGTAATTTTAGATGGCGACAAGTTTTTTTTTTACCAAGGACAAAATAACCGGTACACTCGACTCTCGATAGTTTGAAACTCAAGGGACTGGAGATTATTAATTTTAAATTGAGAGTTTGAAATAATAATTAATTATTTTTATGACACTGAGGTTAGCAGACGTCTAAAAATTTTTAATTTGTTTTTTAATTAAATTACAACTAAAAAGATATTTTTAAGAAATTGCACTTATAGTTTTTTAAGTTTTTAACAAGTGATATTTTTTTTTTTTTTAATTGTTTAATTGAAATTTTTTGGATAAAAAAATTTCTAAAAATTTTGAAATGTTAGCTAACTTCATTTTCATTTATTTTTTAGGGCCTGGAATAAATTTTTGAATTATCGAGAGATTCAAATTTACGAGTATCTAATTATCGAGAGTAGATTGTATTTATATATTATTGTATAAGTATTTATATACTGATGGAAGATATAACTTTTGTAAAGGCAACTTTTTTTTAATAAAAATAATTGTAAAGGATTTTTTTGACTCATTGATTTTAATAATTTCATTTTTTTTTTTTCCCCGGGTTTAAGGTAAAAGACCCAATTATTGACACTTGCAATTTTATTGTAATTAAAAAAGTAAAATGTTTTCAAACAACCAATTATCCTAAAATTTATAATTCAAAAAAAGTTTGGAAAATTCAAAACTGCACGACTCATAATGCTCATTTAATTATGAAACATTAATAAAATAATAATGCAATAAATTGTAATTTTATAACTGATTATTGTTGACTAATTTGTTTAAATGGAATGGAGATTGACTAAGTTTCTTAATATTGTGGTTACCACTTGTTTGACTTTATTTATATATTGTAAAACGATGAAATTTTTCGGAGTATTGTATTTGATTTTCTTTTATTAATTAAATTACAACTAAAACGATATTTATAAAAAATTGCACTTATAGTTTTTCAAGTTTTTAACAAGTGATATTTTTTTTTTTTTTTAATTGTTTAATTGAAATTTTTTCGATAAAAAATTTCTAAAAATTTTGAAATGTTAGCTAACTTCATTTTCATTTATTTTTTAGGGCCTGGAATAAATTTTTGAATTATCGAGAGATTCAAATTTACGAGTATCTAATTATCGAGAGTAGATTGTATTTATATATTATTGTATAAGTATTTATATACTGATGGAAGATATAACTTTTGTAAAGGCAACTTTTTTTTAATAAAAATAATTGTAAAGGATTTTTTTGACTCATTGATTTTAATAATTTCATTTTTTTTTTTTCCCCGGGTTTAAGGTAAAAGACCCAATTATTGACACTTGCAATTTTATTGTAATTAAAAAAGTAAAATGTTTTCAAACAACCAATTATCCTAAAATTTATAATTCAAAAAAAGTTTGGAAAATTCAAAACTGCACGACTCATAATGCTCATTTAATTATGAAACATTAATAAAATAATAATGCAATAAATTGTAATTTTATAACTGATTATTGTTGACTAATTTGTTTAAATGGAATGGAGATTGACTAAGTTTCTTAATATTGTGGTTACCACTTGTTTGACTTTATTTATATATTGTAAAACGATGAAATTTTTCGGAGTATTGTATTTGATTTTCTTTTATTAATTAAATTACAACTAAAACGATATTTATAAAAAATTGCACTTATAGTTTTTCAAGTTTTTAACATGTGATATTTTTTTTAATTGTTTAATTGAAATTTTTTCGATAAAAAATTTCTAAAAATTTTGAAATGTTAGCTAACTTCATTTTCATTTATTTTTTAGGGCCTGGAATAAATTTTTGAATTATCGAGAGATTCAAATTTACGAGTATCTAATTATCGAGAGTAGATTGTATTTATATATTATTGTATAAGTATTTATATACTGATGGAAGATATAACTTTTGTAAAGGCAACTTTTTTTTAATAAAAATAATTGTAAAGGATTTTTTTGACTCATTGATTTTAATAATTTCATTTTTTTTTTTTCCCCGGGTTTAAGGTAAAAGACCCAATTATTGACACTTGCAATTTTATTGTAATTAAAAAAGTAAAATGTTTTCAAACAACCAATTATCCTAAAATTTATAATTCAAAAAAAGTTTGGAAAATTCAAAACTGCACGACTCATAATGCTCATTTAATTATGAAACATTAATAAAATAATAATGCAATAAATTGTAATTTTATAACTGATTATTGTTGACTAATTTGTTTAAATGGAATGGAGATTGACTAAGTTTCTTAATATTGTGGTTACCACTTGTTTGACTTTATTTATATATTGTAAAACGATGAAATTTTTCGGAGTATTGTATTTGATTTTCTTTTATTAATTAAATTACAACTAAAACGATATTTATAAAAAATTGCACTTATAGTTTTTCAAGTTTTTAACATGTGATATTTTTTTTAATTGTTTAATTGAAATTTTTTCGATAAAAAATTTCTAAAAATTTTGAAATGTTAGCTAACTTCATTTTCATTTATTTTTTAGGGCCTGGAATAAATTTTTGAATTATCGAGAGATTCAAATTTACGAGTATCTAATTATCGAGAGTAGATTGTATTTATATATTATTGTATAAGTATTTATATACTGATGGAAGATATAACTTTCTTTGAAAAAATAATTTAATCTTAAAAAAAATTCATCAGTCGTTACCATCATCAAAGTACAGATTTTTGTAATATCGATGGTATTTTTTTGGAACTGTGCCTGACGTACAAAAATTAATAGAAATTAGAATATAACTTTTTTTTTTTTAAGCTAACAATTAATAATGATTAAAAAAAAATGATACGCCCTTTTGGCTTTAAAATTTTTTTGTCTTAAAGTCAAAAGGTCGTCTGCAAAAAAAAAATTTTTTTTATTCACTTTTCTTACAGATCTGAATGTTATAAACATTTTTAGGTTCACGGAAAGAACAAGATGACACACTGGATATCATCCCAGAGTATACTCAGTGATATCTGTGGTGAAAAAAATTTCAGATAGTACACTGAGAAAAAAAAGTACTACTCTTGAGAAAATTTTCTAGTCACGAGAATATATATTCTTGATAATTTTCAAGAATATATTTTCTTGTCTCAAGAATTGATCGAATTATTTTTTGTTTAATTCAAGTGAACCCATTTGTTTGTTAATCTATCAAAATTAATGCCAATATTTTATTATCATAATAAATATTGATATTCTTTAGTCAAAAAACCAAAATTTATTTTAAACGATTGTTGAGCCAAGAAATTTTTTTCTGGACAAAAAATTTTTTTTTTCTCAGTGTAGCTAGAAAAATCCAGATTACACCTATTGATATCTGGATTATACTCATTGTAATTTAGATTATACCAGCTACTATCTGAAATTTTTTTTCACTCAGTATAATCTAGGATGATATCCAGTGTCATCTTGTTCTTTCCGTTTAGTTGGAGGAAAAAAATTTTATACGCCCGTTTGGCATTAGTAACGCGATATGATTAATGATTATGATTAATTATTTAACTAATAATAATAATTAATATATTTGTGGAGCCGAACGATCATTAATAGTACCGGTTGTTTTCCTTAAAGAAGTACCGCGTCTTATCTGATCCATCAATGAATCTCTTACTTGAAGCGGATCTAGAATAGGAACTCTATTAGCCATAATCCGTCTGACGCTTGCAGATCTATTAGGAGTAGATAATGTCGCGGTTGTACTTTTTAAGTGAGTTTGTACTTGAGGTACTTGTTGTTGACTTTGTTGCTGACGCTGTTGTTGTTTCTGTGCCGCTAATTTAGCATTAAGGGTCTCGAGAAAACCAACGCTGGTACGTCGCGGAGCAGAACAAGTTTGGCTCTGTAATTCACTGGTAGAAATGATATGTTTGCGCATCAACTTGGGACTGCAGTCCCCAGCAGTTGAGTTGATGGAAGTGCTGCTGAGTTTAGAACTCAGAACACTGATCAAATTTTGCTGACTGGAGTTGAAAGTCGAAGTGTTGGAGACGGTAGTGTTCGAAGAACTGTGCCCGGATGAGGATGACTCAATGCTGGAGGTGGATACACGCCTGGAGGAGCTCGAATGCTCGGGACCTGATCTAGTAACACGTGTTACTGGAGGCTGTGCCTGTTGAGCCATCAGCTTACGCATAAATGACGGGCTTGCAGGGGTATGACGCAGCTCGGTAAGTGTTCTCACTGTCTCTGAAACGGATATTGATCTTTTAGCGGGGGGATAAGGACTCGCCGTTGGCGAACTTCCTTCTAATAGGAATGCTGGAGGCGGAGGAAGGTTCTCGGTTTCGTCGGCTATGTTGGGGGGCGAGGGTGAAATGGTCAAGTCACTGTCTGCTCCGGCTATTTGGAGAAGGTTGCTCGCGCTTATGCTGCAGTTTGTACGCTCCTCGAGAGTATTTGTTATACTTGTCGTTGAGGTTATTATTGTAGATGTTCGGCGTGTTGGCGGTGCTGGCTTGTTTTGTTGGAATGATCCGCGACGAGGCAATGTACATGTTCCGCTGATATCTAAATTACTCATTTCTGCTTGCTGAGGCGCTTCTTCTTTTGGTAATGGCGTTATTGTTGATTCAGTCTGGAAAATAATTTTTTTAATTATGTTGATATTTTTACTAAATTTAAGGAAAAATTCAATTTCACAGTTGGTTGAAAAATATTAATTGATTGATAACAGTGTGGCACAAAAAATCAACTATAAAAAAAAAATTAGTTGTTTTGATGTAAGACTTTTTTTATTCTTCTTCATAGCGGACTTAAGAATCATTCATTAAAAATTTACAAAATTTTGGAATTAAAAATATTTATCCGGCGTTTTTAATAGTTTCAAAAATTTTAAGTAACTTCTATAGGTAAAAGTTTTAAATTGAAACTATCAGAGTGTGCGTAATTTTCGATATAAAAAATTATAAAATAATATTAATAAGAGAATTAAAAGCAAAAGAAAATGTAATTTTTAAAGTTTTTAACAATCATGACTCTAAAAATTTTTTTTAAACAAACTAATTTTTGGAGAGGGCTTTCAAATCATTTATATTATTAAGAGAATAAGAAAAATTTTGTGTCTAGGACAGTAATATAATAAAATCGATTTTTTTTAGTGAAATTGATAGTCAATTTATGATGTAAAGTAATTAGGCTGCATTTGAAAATGCTCTATTTCTACTTAGATACATAATTAAGAAATGTCCTTGTACTTTGAGAACCATTAACATTTTCAAAGATATAAGCTCATCCCGATCTTACACTCATCAAGACCTTTCATTTGAGTACCCACATCAATTTTTTATATATTTATATTTGTATATTATATATATGTATATATGAAAAATATATCAAAATGTATGTGGGTACTCAAACGAAAGCTCTTGATGGATGTAACATCGAGATGATCTTATATCGTTAAAAACATCAACAATTAAGAAAGTACAGTGCAATTCAACATAATTAAGAAACGACTTTGTATCTTGTGAACTATTGACATTCTTAAAAATATAAGCTCACCCCGACATTACACTCATCGAGACCTTTCATTTGAGTACCCACATCAATTTTTCATTTTATTTATATATATATATATATGTATATATGAAAAATATATAAAAAATGCTTGTGGGTACTCAAATGAGAGCTCTTGAGGAGTGTAACCTCGGGATGAGCTTGTATCTTTAAAATATGGATTATATATATTACATAATTAAGAAATGAC